AGATGCAACGAATGGAATGGGTTAGTTTGGAGGGCTTTGCGTGGGGCTGTTGATGCTTCGCGAGAGCTGCAGCTGAGCATTCAGTCTGAGGTGCGCTTTCTGTCCGGCACTTGGCTCTCCAGCTCATCACTGTAGCATAGGTTAGTTAATTTAGATCAGGTGATGGGAGGCAGAATGTTTACAGTGCTGGTGATGCCAAGCATGGCTTTTTATGTTGGGGCGGCAGGCTGCTGTGCCTGAGGCCTGGTGTTTCCTTCCTTCTGCTGTCAAATTCTTTGCTTAGCTCTGCTGAGCCTGGGCGTTTCTCCTGCTGGTCAGGTCTCCTCCCATGGTAGTGGTGCAGGGAGGAGCCCCTCTTGCAGCCAGTGGGAGAGACAGAGAATAAAAACCAGAGGAAAGTCGTCGTGGCTGCCAGGAGATTGTGGCTGCCATGTTTTCCTGCCTCTTACATGGCTGTTCTCTGCTTAATTAGTCCAGGGGGTAGCTGGTCTTGGAGGGCAATAGCAGAACTGACTACTTGCTGGGAATCCAGAGGCTTTGTCTGCTTTGTTCAGAGTACAGCAGACAAGGGGAAGGTTGTTGTGCTTGAGCCCATATCCCCCTTGAGATCCCAGAGCCCAGTGTACTCCTGGTGTGTCAGACACGGCACAGGGGAGTGCTGACCTGCTGCAGCCTGTGGAGGGTAAGTACCCCTTGGCTCAGACCCAGGGCTGGAAGCAGCCTCCCTCCCCCAGTGTATCTGGAGTTGAACTGTTTGGCCACCTGCCCCCGTGCTGGCTGAGCCTCTTTCACCCCGGGGGTGGTGGGAGGAGTACTCACTGGTTTTATGAGGCAGAGGGCATGCCTGGTTCTGGGTGACCATCCTCCAGGGCAGAAAACTGTGCCCTCCACCTCAGTTCCTCTTCATCTGCTGTCCGTTTTCTCTGTAGGACACGGTTCAGAAACACCAAGGGCAAGTCTGTGAAGAAAAGCCGGGACTGGATCCTTGAGAAGAAGGAGCGTAGACGACGGCAGGGCAAGTAAGTTCTGCTGGGCCCTGCCTCAGCTGAGGCTGACCATGCTGGTCTGGCCTGCTGTCACCTGTTCAAATTCCTGCCACGAACCCGCTTCCCTTCACCTCCCAGAGTGACCTGTGGATTGTGCTTAGTTGCTGTCTGCTTTTCTCTGCAGGGAAGTGCGAGCAGACACAAAATACACGGGTCGAAAGCGCCGCCCTCGCTTCTGAATTGCTCTGGACAGTGCTGGCATGGAAGATGGTGTGTTGGTCCCTCCAGTGAGCCTCCTGTGGATGGCACTGATGGGCACCCCAGGACTGGGACTTGCTGGGACAGGTCATTGTGGCTCTTGAAGGTGTAAACTAGCTCGGGTGCTGCCCAGCAGCCAACTGCAAAGCTTCCAGACCTGTTTTCCTGGTGAAGGTAGATTGGCAGACAGTGCTCTGGCCACTTGGTGTCTGCAATGCCGTTGCTTATCTTCCTGAGAGTACAGTGAGCCATCTGGAGCTCCAGGTGAGCCAGAACATTATATCCAGCCTCCTCACTAAATAGTCAATGAGTCAGAAGTGTTGCTGGTCTCCTGTGTCCTGCCCTCAGTGCAGGGGAGTACTGAGGTGAGAACATAGCACCTAGTTCCCTGCCAGCTTCCCCTCTGCCCGCAGGCAGGGAGTCGGGTAGTATAAAGGTTTGTGTCCCATGAGGGAAAATCTTCCTCCTGGCATGTTATTTCTGTGACGATTGCTTCTGTGGGAACTTTGCATCAGGCCCACCCTGTATGCTTTAGTGCTTCAGGGTACTGGGGTTGTCTGCACCCCAGCCCTTGCTCCCCATCACCTCCCTTCCCCTGCAACAGACAGGTGCCAGCCAGAGCTTTACAGTTACAAATGTTTATTCTACATAAAAATTCCACAAAATGGGAAGCTGTTTTGCACCCAAAGCTTTGGAAGAAGAAAGGGAGGCTAGCAGGAAGGGAAAGGGTGAAGGAGAAAAGAGGCAACATACAGTGTCATCCAGCCCAGTGAGACAGAGCAAGCCAGGGTCAAGATCCACATAGAAAACAAGGACACTTAGCTCACAGTACAGCAACAGTACAACTCCACGGGGGGCTTGGAAAGCCTTCAAGTACATTAATTACAAAAAAAAAACCCAAACAATCCCCAGTTTGAGTGCAAGCTGTGCGTGCCCCACACTGCTCGGGGAATACTGCATCGACATGCTCCCAGCGCTGGGAGGGCAGGTGGCACTTGGAACAGAGGTGGTATAACCCAAAGGACAAGTGGTCTGAGGTTGGGGGCTGGAAAGAAAAAGTGAAATGTCTCCCCAAAACACAACCACACTGTTGATTTGGTCTGTACATGCAACAACGGGTAGGTAAAAAGGAACTGAATGGGGCTTCCCGTAGTGCAGGGGTAATTATTGCACCAAAACACCCTCCCCTCACAGCGAGGACAGTGTGAGCCTACCTGTAAGGGCAGCGATGGCAGCCTGCTCCTCTGCTTCCCTCACGTCAGAGCCTGGCACCACCACTGCCTGCAGGCAGGATACCAGCAAAGTGCCAGTGGCAAAATTGCTGACTGTGGCCTCATCTGGCTTCTGCTGCTGGGGGTGCTGCTGGCGGTGGTGGTGCCAACAAGGAAGGAGCAAGTGCCAAAATCCCCCCAGTGGGATTGGCCTCATGCCTTGACAGGGGTGGGCCACAGCCCTGATGTCATATGAGCTTGTGCCACAAAAGCCACTGCTTGGAAGAAAAAGTCACCTTGTGCTAGCAGTGGGCATTGCTGCAGGGTGAGAGCCTGAGAGGAGCTTTTTTGCCTGCCTGCCCAGGAGCAGCCCTGTCAGCAGTGTTATTGCTTCCCAGAGGAGGGGGCTCGGCTCTTGCTGGCTCAGTAGAGCATGGCGCAGACTTGTGGTGGCAGGGAGCTGCACAGGGGCAGGAGCAGCAAGGCATCATGCATCACCTCCAGCTCCCTTTCCTGTAGCCACACACCTCCGGAGAGTGAGGCTCCTGCCCATGCCTGCCTCCTGCCCTGCAGCGAGGCTCCAGAGATGGCCTGTCCCTGCTTGCAGTGGTCCCGGTGCCCAAAGCCCTTTTGCGCACACAGGCTGCAGTGCTGTAACTCACATCAGTTGTTGTGGGACTGTGAAAGAAGGGGGCTCCGGTCTTGGATATTCCCATGGCCGCACCTGCTGGGGGCCTGGGCTGGGCAGGGCAGGGGACCAATCTGGACACGCTTCCCAGCAGAGGCTAAATGCAACCAGGGGCTGTATTGTAGGACCTCGGGTAACAGTGGCAGGGGAAGAGGCGTGTTTGGGGGGGCTTA